TAGTATAAAGTTCCTTTCTCATCTACCAGGCTATTTATCAATTTCTTCCTTTTCTCTGTTTTCAATTTATACTTCAGCCATCTTCCTGGCTTATTTGCATTTTCAAAAAAGTTATGTTTAGCATTTTCAGAGCACAAAATCTTCTGTTAGGGAAAGGAGAGAGTGTGAAATGGAATGGAATGGAAAAGTGAATGAGAGAGTTGAACTGGGGCAACCAGCGAGCAAGTCATTGAGCAAAGCCCTGTGAAAGGAAGGGGCCCTTATCTCTAGAAGCAAGCAGAGGTCCTTCAGGACTCTTCTGAATCCTAAAACTGTGAGTGAGGAAAAAGCAAGTAACAAGAGGTATCTGTACTCACTGCAGGGAGACCCCTTTTTGTTTTGAAAACTGCTAGGCAGGAGAATCCCTAACAGGAGGTGTCTGTACTCTGATAGAGAACCAGTGTACTCCGGATCCCTTTTGATCTGAAAACTGCTGGCAGGGCGGTTGTCTCAGTGGAAGACTCAGTTTGCCAGGACCCGCCAGAGCCAAGTTGAATCCCTGCACCGGAGGGGAAACATGGGATGCTCTAGCTTGAGGGTCATTGTAGGTTCCCCAATGAAAGACTTGCTTGACGCCTGGGACTAAAAGAGATAGTTGCCTGTCCAGGTGGGCATGAAAAAAAGAAAAAAGGTTGTGTAAGAAGTGGGCTTTGCTCAGGGATGAAGCTGGAAAACCAATTTGGCTAAATAAAGGTACTTAAAAGAAAAGGGAAATATATAAATAGGACTGTTGGGGGGTTTATTTGTTTTGTTTATTTTGTTTGTTTATTTCTCTCTCTTCCTCTCTGTCTTCCATGCAACCACATGATATGTTTGTTAAGATTTGTACTTTCCCTAATTTAACTGAGATTTATGGTGGGAATGAACAGATTGTATAAACCTGAGAGTTCTGTTTTCCTTTTCGGTTTTGTTTTTCTTGTCTTTGTGTGTATATGTGTGTGTAAGTCTTTGTGTGTCTTTGAGGTAATTGTAACTGTTAAATGTCTCAGATCCCTAAAGATATGAATTTTAAATTATTAGAAAAGAGTTGGGAGCACTGAAGGGAAAGGGGAAAAAAGCCTTCATTCTATTTTGTCTGGCCCACAGAACATAATGAAGAAAACTGAGTTCAATTTTTTTTCCTCTCTGTGCTTTTAAGAAAAACCCAAGGTTATGAGCAAATGTTTTAAGTTAATTTACAGGAAGTTTCATTCTTGCATCTACTGTGTGTTTAAATGATTTCATCTGTCTATCCTTTTCCTGAAGCACGTAAATCCAGTTTTTTTCCTTTCTCATCTGTTGTGTCTCCATTTTGTTGAAATTGATTTATTTGTTTAATAACTACAGTACGGGTGGGTTTCTTCCCTCAAACCCTGCCTGCAAGCTATTTACTCCACTCCCCCTCATTTCTCATCCTGTAAACAATGCCTTTCCTGGGAGGATTACCCACAAAAGGGAGGAGGGGGCCTTGTTCTTATGTCTTTCATCCCTGCAACATGTAGAGACATTCCATCCATTGGAACCAGTAATTGGGTTTGGATCCAGCCCTCCATCAGAAAGTCATCACAGCAACCAAAGTGGAGCAAACCTTTCCAAGCCTGACTGATCACCCATACCACCAGGCCAAGCCTAATGCCACCCAAAGACATGAAAGAAAGGACCCTGAGATGAACCAGTAAAACACTAAAAGACTCTTTTTGATCCGCAGAAGACAGTTGAAAAGATTATGGGGGGAGGGTGGAAATTCATTGTAATTTTTTTTCTTGTCTCATTTATATTGTAGTCAATTTAATGTACTCATGTAAGGATTGTATTTGAGAGTGGTTGCCACAGCAAGTTCTGAACACTTTGGACTTCTGTCTGGTGGGAGGGAAAATTGTCCAGCATGTTTGTATTGTAAAAATAGCTGCATACATAAGCACACACACAGAGACACACAATTCAGAATTAGACAGAGGTTATCCCCTTCACCTACCTCCACACAAAGCTGCTCCTAGCTTCCTTTTGCTTCTCGTAGCTCCTTTTTTGTGTTTGTTTGTGTATGTGTGTTTGTTTTTTGTTTTGCTCTGTGGCACGAAGGCCCAAGCAGTCATATCTCCATGCTAATCCCATGGAGGGGGCATCCCTCTCAGGCAATTCCCTCACTTGAAGAGATAGCAGAAAAGAGAACTCCAAGCCCTGACTGTGACTCACAAATGATGCTGCCCAGTTACCCAGCAAAGCAGGATATGTTGCACTGGTGGTCTCATGAGTAGGTGTCCCAGGGCTCATTGTGTGTAATTTTAAAAATACTAAATAGCCTGGATTGAACAGTGACTAACTTCAATTTGGCCTCACAAACCCTGGAAACTAAGAGCTAGGACAGGTTCTTTGTCTAGAAATAGGTAGCCTGTAGGAATTTAAAGGAAAAATATGGCTGTGAAGAACTTTGGGACTTGTGCTTGCTTGAAACCTGACTGTAAGCTCACAGAAAGTGCATCAAACATCTGAAAATAATTGGCATAGAAAATTGGATACTGTAAATTTCTTTCCAGAACATTTCCCCTGGCTGCTAGACCTTCATGGTTGAAAGCTTTTGGAAGCCACTGAAGGAATCCTTTTCTGTTTCCTCTATCAATGCCTTCAACTTTGCACCAGAAAAATTAAAAGCACCCATTAAGTCTCCCTGATCTGATCAATTTTTAATCTTTTGCCAATAACGTGTGTTCCACCAACATATTTTGGCAAAAAGGAGGGATATTGCAGAAGTTAGCACCCACCCCTCTCCTAGAAGAATGAAATATTCTAGGAAATATTTTAAAAGGCCGAATATTATATTTCCATGGATGAGAAAAGGAGAAACATGTTTTTAAAGACAAAGCAGCTTCCTGCAGCTCCCTGCACTTCAGCTCCAGGGTGATGGGATCAGGGCATGATAGGATTAGGCCTCTACTCATCTCATCACATGGCACCTGGGAAGATTGCATCACCCAGCAAGATGCAACCAAGCTATTCCTGCATGGCCCCATGGGAGTCTGACAAGCAATCAGAATACAGTTCTTGCCACAGGAACAGGAAGCCAGTTCAAAGCCCAGAGAGGGCATAAAACCAAGGGACTCTCAGCATCTCAGCACCATTTTTGCAGGATCTCCAAGGCATATGATCCTGTTCATCAATAAACCTTCTTTCCAAGCAACTTCCATGAATCCAGTGTCTTTTCCCCAGTTGGAACTGAACCCAGAAGGGTATTTCTTCCAACAGCCTTCTATTAGAAATACAGATAAATACTCCTCCTGTATAATTAGTCAGCTTTCGTGCAAGCTGCTTATTGTCTTTTAACAATGTTTTCAAGTTCATTGTCATATCGTTTGTCCTCACATAAAAGAGGAGAAAGGGATAATATTTTAGCAAGCCACCAGGTCACATCTTTGATCTTCACTGCTGGGAGATAGGATATCTGTCTTGATAATCTGATCAAAAATTACTAATTCCATTGTTCAGAAATGAAAAATGAATCTGCTATCAACAATATTACCCCTTTATCACCAACACACGCTCGTTAAAATGGTAAGAATGGGAAGGACTAAACAAAAGAAATGTTAAGTGAGTAAGTGGAAATAATACTATGTTCCATTGAAAAATGGATTGTACATTTAAAAGACAAACCATTTAACTTTTTTTTCCAGTGGAGGGAGAATTTATTCAGGGCAAAGTTTATGAATCTGCAGGTTGTAAAAGAAAGATGGAACTACATTCTTTGTGGAGGATTTTTGTCCTGGGTTATCTATCTGTTCTATATAGTGTGCAATTATTTTTTCTGCAGTCCTTACAGTCCAGAGAGTTACAGAGGTACAAATGACAGACTCAGTAATTCCTTTGTAGAACTGTATCAGCAGCTCCTTGGGCAGTCTGAGCTTTCTGAATTGGTGCAGGAAGAACATTCTTTGTTGTGCTTTTTTGATGATGTTTTGATGTTAGCTGTCCATTTTAAGTCCTGAGATATTATAGGACCTGGAAACTTGAAGGTGTCAGGGTCCATCATCACCAGCTTAGTGCCTTGCTGGTGTTCTGCCATAAAAGTAGGTAGGGAAAGGGAGGATGGGGATTTATTGCTATAACTTCAAAGACTAGATCACTGCTAAGCTGGCTTGTACCAGGATCTTCAAAGCCGTTCACCCTGAGAATGGAATGTTACCAGTTTGACACCTCAGAGTTTCTCAAAACATCTTTCCAGCATTGGCTGGCCAGGTCACTGGTCAAGGGGAGAGAGAATGGGAAATGAAAAGAATAGCTTTGTATTTTGTCCAGGAACACCAGATTTCTCCTGACCTTATTGCAATCTATTTCTTTTAATAAAAGTTCCTCTGTTTCAATTAAAATGGAGTCATGAGTATTACTTTCCTGAGAGAGACTGGGCAAGGTCTGATAGAAGGTCTCTACTGTTGATATTGTGTTGTCCAATATTGTAAGAGTTTAGTTTAGTTTATTGTCAGTGCACCTCGTACAACGAAATCGAACACCATCTTCAGTGCACATGACTATGACCGTGAAAATAAACACAAAATCTTTTCTTCTATGTAAACTCAGAGGGTTTTTTGGATGCTAAATACCTTGGCAATTTTGAAAGTTTAATATTTGACCTCCACATCTATCATTAATTCTAGGAGATTTAATTAAATCCTATTGTGTAGTACAAATGGCTATCTTCCTAAATTGTCCATTTATCTGGCTGACCTTTGTGATAGTAATAATAAATGTGGCCACATGCCTTGGACAGTTTGATTAGTTTTACTTCTTCCCATGGAGGACAAAGTACAACAAGCCCAGTCCTAGTATGCAAAAGAAGATCATTCAAAAGACCTTGCCTTTTTTTAAAAAAATATGCTTTTTTCAGAATTTGATACTTATGGTAGGAAGGAAAGAACTGGGAGAAAAAGTTGATGTTGAAGACATCACAAAACGTGTTGGGATCTGTTCATCTTCATTTCTCCCCAAGCAGGAATTTAAAATCCAAGGATTTGGAAAGCATCTCGCAGGTCATCAATTTCATAAAGAGGCTGTGAATCAGGAGAAATAAGTGATCCAAAAGCAATTGTGAGAATATGAGAAAAGATAACAAAGAAGGACAGTAATAAAGAAAACATCAAGAAAATGTAGAAAAAGCTGGGAAGTGGAGCGAAGGGAATGAATGAAAAATTAAGGCATGAGAAGAGAAGAGCAAATAGAGGGCAGTGATTCTGCTTACACTGAGGAGAAGTGGGAAATGACAAGTGAGTGAAGAGCAGCAAAGAAGAAGGAAGCTCTGTGGGAGAAGTAAATGCTCACCAAAAGGATACGCCGGAGTTGTCTGGTAAGACGTACAGAATTTTCATGAAGTCCTACCCAGGCTTTGAAGGGTTTTTTGCGGTTTTCCACAAAGGTGTTCCAACAGTAAAAATAGTCTGATAAGAAAGAGTCATGAAACATTCAAATTCAGTTGATGATATTTCCTAAGGCTGTGCAAATCTTTTGAAAGAGTTGCTTTGAGAATTTACGGGAGCATGTATAAAACAACTCTTTTGAAATAAAGCAACACTGTCTTCACTGGCTCACTTGGCTCTTTTGGAAATTGTTCCCACCTGTCTCCCCATGCTAATCTTTTGAAGGATTTGTACAGCCTTTATATTCATCTGAACGTATAATCATACCAGGTATAATTAGTTTATTTTGCTTCAAGGTCATAACACAGATATTCCCTAAATTTCATTGTATGATATTACCTGTCAGCCCTAAAGCCATTTTTATGCTGAAGCCATTTTGGGAGTATCTTCAGGTCTGCCACAGCCAGGCCAGTTGAGCTGTGAGAACGAAAGTGGGGAGATGGAGATAATTGGGATGTGTAGCCAAAACAACATTCTTTCCTGTGGGAGCCAAGGATATTCTAACAGGTGTTGGAGAGGCATGGACCAAAACCAGCCAAGATGGTGGCTATGAGCTGGTTGGACCATGAGAAGGACTTGTGACAGGGGAAGAACTTTGGGATTTGATTTGGGTAGGGAAAATTCTGAGTCCTCCAGAGTCAGGTTTCCCCCAGATGTGCCAATATGACATACCTAATAAATCTATATTTTGTGGAAGATGCCTGCCTTGGAGTTTTGATTCCTTTGGGTGTGTTTGCCAGAGCCCTGACATTAACCTGACTCTCCAAATAGAAAATCCAACTAAAGAAACTCCCCGTAATCACGGGGCCACTGTCCAGGGTCCTGAGCCCAAACCACTTACCCAGGTGACCAGGCAATGGGAAGACTCAGAGAAGGTGGAGAAGAATGTGGAAGAGAAGTCAGCATAGTCATAGGAACCAGTGGAGCATGCAGGGACAGCTCTGGGAGCCTCAGTTTATCCATGGAGGCTGAATTGGCAGTGGCCACAGTGGAAGTCGAACACCATCTGGGTGCACAACCCAAGGACAGGGGCTCTGGCCATTGGCTCAAGAGTTTCATCCACCAAGGAGCAGCCCTGGACTCCAAGTGCTCCAAGAGCTGATGAAATAGCAGGTGCCCCAGGAGCTATACTGGGCTGAGGATGACTTGGCTGGCCAGCCAGTCTTCCAGGAGCCTCACATAGCCTTGGCTTGAGCTGAACGCACCACAGTCCTAGAGTGGAGGACAGTGAGAGTCAAGGCCAAATTTGATCTATGCATAGCCATTTTATTTAGCCTTATTATATATTCCTTTTCTTTCTTTCTCTTCGCTGATTATGAGAGGAAGGGTTTCGGGCTTGCAACATTCCTAAGGGGGAAGGAGTGGAGATAGAGTTGTTTAGGCAAGGTGGTTCTTCTTCTCATGGAAACATGAGCTGTCCCTGCTGAGGCCTTGAGGTGGAGATTGATGACACCAGGCAACGTTGATTTACTTTATTGGAGAATGTGACGTTTGGGGGCTGTTTCTAACTTCCAATATTATGTGGTGTAATTCCGGGTTGTGTCAGATCTGGAATTACAACAGACTTTGCCAATTTGATGTTTTCCTAAAAAAAAGAAATTGTTTTGGAAGATGGACTTTGCTCTTTTCTTTTTAAATGAATTTCATCACTTGGAAACCTGACAGCAAGGCCTCAGTGAATCCAGAGAGTGGGAACTCCAGGTGGCTTCAAGGACCCAATCCTTGGCTGGGTTGCCAGAGAAGTTTGACCAATTGAACACTGGCAGCATGGGACAACTGCTCACCAGTGGCCTTCCCAGCTTGGTCTCGGCCCAACTGACCTTCACCTTTCCCCTCCAAGGGAGCATGACTGGTTAGAGTCGAGTTTCCTCATTCCACTCAGAGCAGAGCAGACCACACTGGAGCCTCCCTCGCCAGGCCTGATCTACCAGGTTGACAGCTCAAACCATGACCACTATCAGCCAGCCACCAGGGCCCCTAGGCCACTCCAGTCCGGGGCTGTGGCAGGATCCTGTTGGTCTTCTGAGGCCAGGCAGCCATCTACTGCCTCTCAGGCTGCTCCCCACAGATCAAATCCCTCCTGGCTGGACATACTGCCCTGGCTAGGGGTGGATCCAGTGCCAATGGATGCCAGCTCCAGTGCCCTAACCAACTCCAAAGCTGCCCCCTATGCTTCAGAGCTACTTTCAATGGTAGCCCAGAGAAGCTGGCATATTTCTTGAACCCGATCTGGTCCCACCTTGATCAATATGGGGCCCAGTACCAGTCTGACCAGGAGATCATCTCTGACATCTCCGACAATGGATGAAGAAAAGGAAGCCGAGAGGGTGGCCCCAGTTACACAATGAGGGAGCTCCTGAACTCGATGATCTGATGAGTTCCTGCAGATGCCAAGAACCCACTTTGAAGACACAACCCAGGGGCAAGAGGCAGAGGCTGAGATTAAGGACCTCAAGCAAAAGGGCTGCCCCAATTCATGTGGGAATTCCAGAGAGTGGTGGGGAACCTGAGAAACTGGCCTGAGCAACTCCTGGTCTACCATTTCAAGGAAGCCCTGGATCAGAACCTGTGGCAAGCCTGTGGCTTCAGAGGGGTTCCCAAGCACATACAGGAGTGGTACAGAATGGTGTTGGCCATGGATCTCAAAATCCGCCTGCACTGAAAAACCACACTGGAGAAAAAAACCAAGCGGACCCTGGGTTGCTGGACCACTACTAGGCAGCCAGATGAGCTAAAGCCAGCATTGGCAGCAACCATTAAGTGCTTCAAGATGTGGCCATCAAGCATCAGAGTGCCTGGCTCCTGAACCCATCCCCCAGGCCTGCATGCTGGCAGCCTCCAAAGCAAAGCGCTGTGATGATGCTGGAGGAGACCTGATGGTGGGAGCCTTGAAGGCAGTGCTCCATGCAGATCCATGGCTAAATGACAACAAGGACACACTGACCTTTAAGGATGGACTAGCCTGGAAAGGGATGAAGTTGTATGTCCCTGCCAGCTTAAGACTCCGTCCTACAGTCAGCCACGACTCCAAATTGGCAGAGCACTTTGGTTACTTAAGACCCTGCATCTGACTAGGTGGCAGTTCTGGTGGCCGAGGATGAAAGCAGATGTGGAGGACTATGTGAAGAGCTGTGCCACCTGTGTTGCTATGAAGAAGAGACTTGGAAGACTCCCAGGTTTCCTCCAACAAGTGGCTTACCCGAGTCATCCCTGGGAAGAAATCACCATGGACTTCATAGTTTAGCTCCCAGAGAGCAGCAGGAACATGGTAATTAGGACCATGATTGACCCATTTTCAAAACAAGCCCATTTCACAGCCTGTTCCGGTTGCCCTCAGCCAGAAAAGTAACCAAGATGTTTATAAAACAGATATATAGGCTACAATGGATGCCCCACAGGATTAATTCAAATGGAGGGTCCAGTTCATAGCTAAGTTTTGGAGGGAATTCTTACAGGTGATAGAAGCCACCCAGGAGCTCAGTTTGGCTTTTCATCTGAGTATGAACGGGGCGGTGGAATGAAAGAATGCAATGGTAGAACAGTACATTAGGTGGTACATAGACTACCAGTAATCTAACTAGGCAGAGCTGCTGCCTTTTGCAGAAGTAACCTACAACAACGGGGTGCACAGTAGCACTGGTCTGACACCTTTCCAAGTCACCAGTGGCATGGAGTTTGTCCCCAGGCCTGAGCTACCAGGAGAGCCCCCCTCCTCTGTGTCCCTGAATGAATGGATGTAGCAGTTAAAGCAAGGGTGGGAAAACATGAAGCAAGTCTTAGTAGAAGCGGGAAAAAAAGTACAAACAGCAAGCCAATAAATGCTGCTCCCCCATCCTCCTTTCCAAAGTATACTTGTTGACTAAGTATCTAAAACTAAAACTAAAGTTGCCAAGCAAGAAACAGGCATAAGTTCATAGGGCCATTCCCAATAATGAAAGTGATAAATCCTGTTGCTGTTCAGCTTACTCCCATACTTCTAGGGAAAGTGCATCCAGTGTTTCATAGCAATCTGCTCAAACCAGTCGCAGGCTCCTAACTAAGGCCAGTAGACCAGGCAGCCCCAAAACTGATTGTGGTGCAGAGAGAGACCCACTATGAAGTAATGAAAATTTTAGATTCCCACATACATCAGGATTGCCTGCAATATCTAGTTCATTGGGAGGAATACCCACTTTCTAAAGCAACTTGGATAAAAAGCTGGGGTGTGAAAGCTGACAGGTTGATTAAACAGTTTCATGACAAGTACCCTCATAAGCCAAAGGGATCACTTAGGGGGCAGGGGAAGGGGAGATTAAAGATGACATGGATTAACCTCCCTTGCGTTTCTTTTACAGGGGGTCCTCCTCAATTGAGGGGTGGGGCAGCCAGTAAGCCCTGAAGCCATTTTTATGCTGAAGCCATTTTGGGAGCATCTTCAGGGCTGCCACAGCCAGGCCAGTTCGAGCTGCGAGAACTGAAGGGGGGAGATGGAGATAATTGGGGATGTGTAGCCAAAACAACATTCTTTCCCATGGGAGCCAAGGATGTTTTACCAGGTGTTGGAGAGGTGTGGACCGAAGCCAGCCAAGATGGTGACTGTGACCTGGTTGGACCATGTGATGGCTATGTGACCGAAGAGGATGGGCTTGATTTGGGTGGGGAAAACTCCAGAGTCCTCCAGAGTTAGGTTTTCCCCAGATGTGCCAATATGACATGCCTAATAAATCTATACTTTGAGGAAAATGCTTGCCTTGAAGTTTTTATTCCTTTGGGTGTGTTTGCCAGAATCCTGACATTACCTTTCTATGTCTAATAATCAGCAGAATTTAATCTAAATTAAATTAAATTAAATTAATTGAGGGAGAACAATTTTCAAGACCTAATCCCAAGCATAAACCTGATAGCAATCAATCAAGTGGTAAGAAAGAAGGTGAACTCCCGTATATAATGTCTTCTAAAGTAACACTGTGTTTTAGTTCCCTTATACCATAAAAAAGCGTGCCAACCCAACAGCAGTTGAACTGGGAGAAGATAAAAAGACA